CCAGTCATTTTAAAATAACACATTTTAGAGCTGTAACGACAATACCGTGAAACCGTGATATTTTTGCTTAAGGTTATCATACCGTTAAAATCTCATACCGGCCCATGCCTAATTCACACATAGTGTTCAAATCTGTAATATATTTGTAGATTTGTATCATGGGATCTGAAATATTTTCTAATGTTTTAAAAGAATTCTCTTCTGCTCAGCAAAGCTGCATTTATTTGTACAGGTTTTTTTTTCTTAGAAAAGCAAGACAAAACAGTAAAAAGCTAAATTTGGTTATTTACTTTATGCAATGGTGAAAAAAATTCAAAATGCTTGGGGAAAAAACGCGAAAAACCGTGTTCGGTATTCGGCCTTAGGCCCAGTGTTTCATTTTGTTCGGCTTCGGCCAAGAATTTTCATTTTGGTGCATCCCTAATCTTAATGATACTAAAATAACACTGCAAGACATTTAAAATAAAAACCGAAAAAAATAATAAAAATTACATAAACAACTAAACTAAAATTTTAACTAAAATTAAAATGCAAAATACAAAAAAAAAACATAACAGTATCTCAATGGTAACACTAAAAATAATACTGCTTCTAGTGTCTTCCACCATCTTGGATTTATTTGCCCACTTAGCTTATTGCAATGCAAAAGTGATGCTTGCAACTATGATGCCATAACATGCATGCACTGTAGGCAGCTCACTAAGTTTTGGAACAGAGCCCTAGAGTGTGTTTTTCTGAAAGAGGATCCTTGTATCACATGAAGGCATCTGCAACTCAGATCACTTAAAAACAGTCTGCTTGACAGCTGTCAGGCAGCAAAAGGACTTCACAAAAGTAGTCTGACTGTATGTCGCATGCTACGAATCAACGGCATCCTAAATGCAAAATATCAAACAATGTCAATCAAGCAAGCATCAAGTTTGGTTCTCTCAGAACAACACGAGACTCAAATGTTCCCCGAGGTCGAGCGTGTTCTACATGCATGACATGCTTTATCTTGTCCTTGTTGCTCTGATCAAATACTCGACGTGCCAGATGAGTTCAAAACACTGGGGTTTTATTCGATTGTTGTGATGTTGAACTCTAGAAAAATGTTTCAGATGGAGCCGTCCGACTCTACTGATGCCACTAATGGAACTAATAATCCATCAGCATTATTAAACCACAGGAAATGAGGGTCTCTGCTGGTTTTCAAGGTCAAAGTGATGCTGTGCATTTACAGGGGGGTAAAAAAAAAAAGTGCTCACCTCTTCCACCGAGCATGGCAAGACCACACGACTGAAAGAAAAGAAAAAACAACAATTATTAAAAATAATAATAAAAAATACAGAAAACACTCATTTTACACACACATAAAAAAATGCAGTAACACATTCCACCACTGATAGCCTATATTAATAAGACACTATTTTCGTGGCTGATTTTTTTCAAGTCCAATGCCAAAAAACAATATATTACTGAAACAAATTTCTCGTTTGCTCTCATTAAATTGTATTAATATTATAAACATTAATGTATTAGTTTAATACATTTATTGATAAAATATACATTTTTACATTTAAATCTATTAATAAAACAAATAGACTTATTAATATTATAAAATATACATATATAAATAAACACATAGATTTAAACATAACCATTCATGACATATTATATTATATTATTATATAAAACCCCAGAAAATGCTGATGATTTCAAACTGTGTCAAATATCAAGTGAATAATCAGTCTGGGTGATTTAGATATCTGTCTATCACTCGCAGCGAACAACCAATTTCAATAATTGATGCTGATCCCAATATTCAGAAACATAATGCACACACAAAACAATTTAATTACAGTAAATGACATTTTGTGGGATTTTGAAAGCAGAATTGTAGAAAAGACAGTAAAGTAGGGGTGAGAAAGGGGAAATGAGATCAGCACAGGACCCAGTTCAAAAGCAAACCTGGTTTCCTGTGAGCCACCAGCTCTTCTACGAGCATGTGCACAAGACACTGCTGCCAAACACACATAATAATAATCATCCTGGAACATCTATTGTTCTATTACTACAAGTAATGATAATTCCTACTGTAAGGTAAGCGATTATACATTTTTTACAAATAAAACAGAACTTTTATTGTATATAAACAACATTCACTGCTCATCTTGAGAGCTCTTTGGAAGCTTGATTTGACACATGAACATTAAATAACGTGTAAAAGTCGCATGAGACGACAAATTAATCTCTGCTCTTTGCTCAATAACATCCTTCGACCGTTCATCTATTACAGGTCAATCCCTGCTATATGAGCCAATCCTGAAAATAATGAAATGATCAATTGACAGACAGGCAAAACACTACAGATTTCAGTCTTCTTAAAGGAAAACTGACATCAGTTTCTATTTTACTCAACATTTTCTCAATACGGAAACTCCCCTGTAAACCTCAAGAGGCTAAAAAGCTATCCAATCCGCTGAGTGACTCAGAAATCGGGAGGTCTTGCGACAGACTGAGTTTTTCTAGTACATTTGACCATTTAAACCTAGCAGAGACACGCTGGAAACTTTGGCAGCGAGTTTTCCAGAATAAAACCCATGCAAACCTGTTGCATTGCTGCTCTACGTGACTAGGATCGCTCACATTTGCATTCTCTTGCAAACCTAAAGGGTGGATGCTCCTAGTCCAAACCTTCAGAGGAGGTTAAAAGGTGCTGGATTTCATAAAGTGGCACATTGTGACATAATCTTGATCCGATCTCTCAGATTAAAGGCTATACAGCTACTGTTTTCAGGCATGTCATGTCCTGTGCAACAGATGAGAACCTAATTAAAATGTGATAACTAGATCCCTAGAGAACAGAAATATAAAACCTGGAAGGAAACAAGAACAGGTTGGAAATGAATGACTGCAGGCCCTTATAAACCGGAGTCACCTGTTAAATTGCCGTTCTGTAGTTTCATTTGTCTGAGTACAAGGTTTTATTTTTTCAATTTTGCACCCTGCTTTGTCCCACTTCTCAAGAATGACTGCAAAAACTCTTTTCAGGCATATTAACAGTAGAACAAGAATCATTATATGACATTAAAATTTCATTTTGACGTAACTATATATGTTGCACTGAAACCAACGGAACATTATTTCACCCATATTTTGACATTTAATTTTCAATAAAGGTATTTGAAATGTTAAAATAGGCACTTGCATTTAAATCACTTTTGTATGTCTATTTTGATGCGGACACCAAAATGGGACATCTCGTCTATGACCCATTTTCAGTTCATACTTTACATGGGAACTGAACCCATGACCTTGGTTTTGCTAAAACAAAAGCTCTATTGTTTGAGCTATGGGAACACTATATGTAGTGTTTGATTTATAAGTTCAAGATCAAAGGGTTCACATAATCATAATAATCAGGGGAAAAATATATATAAATTCAGCTACGTGTATACAAACCTTTCGGTTGTTGTATACCATGGTACTAAAATAATAACATATTAAGGAATAACTCAAGGAACATGTTATTATAATATATTTAAAAACCATTTGTTTGTGTAGATTTGTTATGCTTAGTCATTTTTCAGAATGGCAGCAAAATGAGTCCGTTTTTCTTATTGAATCATTAAAGGGGTCATATGATGCGATTTCAAGTTTTCCTTTCTCTTTGGAGTGTTACAAGCTGTTCGTGCATAGATAAGGTCCCTAAAGTTGCTAAAACTAAAGTCTCAAACCCAAAGTGATATTCTTTATAAAAGTTAAGACTCGTCCACGCCCTCCTAAAACGCCT